TTCTTTTTATGATTACTTTTCTGTGAAGATCTTCCTAACTGCAGTTTGGCTAGATGGAGAAAATTGAATCTCTTTAATTTAATGACCTATTAAAAATTGTGTGAAAGTAGTCTCAGAGATAAAAGGAAAAATTAGGGTGAACACTTCACCAGACAAGTACTGGGAACGTCTTCAGTGCTATACTTTATGTTTGTAACCATCATGTCATCACTTGCCCGTGAAACACAGGGAGCCTAGTTCCTCTCGGTGAGGTCAAGTTATTCAATATGAGAGATTGCTTCCTCATAGTCTACCGGATTAGAGTAAACTCCAAATTGGAAGTGATTAATTGTGGAGACCTGTATGTGTTTGTTAATGATGCATGCAGCCAGGCCAAAGATAGATCACAAAAGGAGAGAAATTCCAAAAAGGAGGTAGTGATGAAGTTAAACGAGACAGATGAGACAGGTGTTGGCCATGGACCTGAAAAAGCCGAAACTGGAGCCTACATGAGAAGGAAACACTGAGGGCAGATTGGCTGTGAGAAGTGGAAGGCTGGATCAGACAGGAAGGAGACAGTCAGAGGGTAGGACCTAGGAATGAGCCAGACCAGGCCAACAGGGCGCGGTAGGGAGTGCCCATCAAGAGTGACGGGCAAGCAGCNTTTTGTTAAATCACCCAGTGGCCCATTAGGACCTAGACCTCATTTCAGTTTCTACTTCCTTTTGTCTTTTAGAGCTTGGATTTGTTTCTATACAGAAAAAAAAGCAGGCTGCCAAAAAATTCAGCAAGAAAGCCCTAACCTTCTCACTCAGGTTGTGTGGCCCCCCTCCCCAGGCAGGGCAGGAGTGATGAACTGTGTCAGATGCCCAGGGAGCAGGTGGGATTTTGTCAGCTAGAAGCCAGCCAATTCCCTTGAAGTTCTCATAAATTAGCCTTGTTACAGCAGCTGAGGGTATCACAACTTGGCATTTGAAGCCATTGCAATGCATAGCCTCCAAGGACAGCTCAGGGGATAATGCCCTTAAGTGACCCTTAGAGTCATAGCTGCCACTTTGGTCTTGGCAAATCAAAGAAGATGGAACTTGACTTTGGATTAGGCCAACTTCTTTTTCTGTATCTCCCTTGTACATAACCCCTCTCATTCTCTCCCAGGCCTCTTTCATGGCCAACAGGCTGTCCAAGGCAGCCCAGAGAAATGCTTTATTATTTAAACACCACTTTGTCTTTCTAAAAGTACCCCTATTATCCAAAATAACTTCTCAATCCTACAAACAATTCAAATTCCCCTTTCTGCACTTGTATAAGCTGAGGTATTACAAACAAAATAATCTGATTCAAGAGCTTCATATTAAGTTGGAAACTAAGTGAGCCATTTCACGGTTTTAAAAATGGGAGGGATAACTCAGTGATCCCAAATAATATGTAATCAACAGAATATGTGGAAGAAAATAATTGTGTGGAGTGGAGGCATCCAGTGGCAGACAGAAGTATCATTGTGACTCCAAGAAAACCATGATGAACAGCCTGGCCCATCCCATCCATTCGGGGAGTTGGCTGCACATGGTCTGGGCATTCTAGAATCTAGCAAGAGGGAAAAAGAAATCCTAACACCTGGGGAAGCAAAACTTATCATGTCGTTGGTTTTTCCTCACCTACTCAGTTCCTTTTTTCATAATGAATCGAGCATGTAGTGCACAGTGGATAAGGGGAAGGATTCTGGAACCTAGAATTCCCATTCCACCACTTCCTCAATGTAAGTTCTTTTCAAATATCCAATGGGGATAATATGAACCTCATGTGATCATTGTGAGAATTAAATGTAATTTATGTGAAGTGTACCTAACATGGTAGATGACAGATGATGATGATGATGATGATGACAATGACAACAACAATTAACAGCTAGTTATAGGGCAGGGCACCTGCCATGTGTGGCCCCAGGTGCTAGAAATGGCGCATATTCCTCATTACTAATAGCACACAATTAGGCAGAAAAGGTAGCTATGCCACTGATTAATTATCCTACATGATGGTGCCACGGTTTGATCTGGGTTCAAGGTACAGGATAGTGAGGTGG